GAGGCACCGTCCACCCAAAATGGAGGTTGGCGAGATTATGATGGCGTACTAGTGTGGGCCCCCACACTAGGCAAACCCTCAAGTTTTGCCGCAAAAGACTGCTTCTGAAGCGAGAAATCCGTTCCGAAAGTAGCAACCCAGGGCGACCATGGTCGCCCCGCTCACTTGCATGCTTCATCTCGCCTGCGCTTGTTGCAGAGGATTCTCGAAACAGTGATTATTGGGGGTTTCGCGGATTTTCGACTCTATATTCGGAATCAGGGAATATTTCAGAAATCCTGAAGGCGACATAAACATTGAATATGAGATTTTGGGTTGACAAGAAAGAACAAAAAATCGATCAGACACAGCGTTTCTCGGCGTCTCTGCCCGCGACGGTTCCGCAGCTGGCCCGCAGCTGACCGCCTGCGCAAGGAGTGCTCGTCTTCTTCGAATTCTGAAGGGCATCTAAAACCCAATAATTTGAAACTTTTGTTCCATTTTAGACATAAAATCGGACTTAGTGGGCGCAAAAGAAGCTAAAAAGGAGAAGAATCAAAATTGAGGATTTGGGTGGACGCTGCCTTAAAGGCAGTGTCCGGGCAAGATGGGGGTTTTGAGATTTCTCTGCCATGTGAGACTGGCCCCCCTGAGACACAACATCGCGCAACTGCGAGCATAAAACGTTCGACCTAAAGCAAGAAAAACAATTGCAAAGTGGGGAAACTTACGCCTCGGGGCGGGGTCCTCCGAGCTGTTTGAATTCCTGCCAGACGGCAGAGTACGTATGCCGCCACAGTTAAAAACCGTGCGCTCTTTGCAACTCTGCGTCTTAGCCTGGCGGGAATCCTCAAATTTCGAAATGTAAGGGCTTGGAAAATGCATGTTCTCGCCGTTTTCGTGCTTTCTGATATGGATTTTCGGATTCAGCGTTGCGGATAACCCCAGATAAGTTGATTTTTTAAAAGTCGAGTTTCTGCCCGGACACTGCCTTTAAGCTCCAGATATGCGGACTTCACGCTGTCTACCTGCCCGTAAGTGTTGCCACCATCCTTCACTAAGAAAATAGTGAACAAGAGCAAGACGCTATTTAGGCCGCATTTTCCAGTTTTCTGTATGATTTTCAGCTGCCGACCGTCTTTTCTTTCAAGATGTTTTTTAAGTCAATAAAAACATTTCAAAGTTGTGTCGTGTATCTAACAGTGCTAATCAGGTTTCTAGTAAAAGCAAGTGATGTTTCGAAGTCATGGAATTTGCGATAAACTACAAGTCGAAAATTGGGGCATACCGAAAAAATCGATTTCCTAAAAACTTATTTGTTCCTACCACCAAAATACTTAGCACGTCAGGTTAGGTAATCATACAACACTGGAAGGTTTTCGTTAATTTGGAAGGAAGAAAAATGACTTTGAAGAAAGTGGTCGGCCGCGGGGATCTCAGGGGATCATACAAAAAGCTGGAAAATGCGACTTGTACAGCGGGGCACAAAGGCTACGTTTCGCGTTAATTTCTCGGATAATCGAACTTAAAAAAGCAAAAGGGCATGTTTCTATCTTATGGCTTAGACGACAAGTGTGATCTTGACTGTGGTTTTATGATCGCGTCTAACATTCGTACTCATTTAGAGAATATGGACCTTTCGATTCACGCTATACTTGTCAGGAGTGGTCAGAACTTAACCCTTCCATTCCAAACAAACTATATATCTTTAGGATTCGCCTTGAAGCGCTGATTTCAATTGATGTTTATTATCTGCCAAGCGACTATCTGATTACAAGTTATGAGCGTCTCGTTGTGCGGATTTGTCAACTCTGTAGCGTACGTTCCACGAAAAATGTTTTAAAACATCTGTCAAGGTTTTGGGTGAACGCCATTCTTCCTTGTGATTGAAAAAAAAAAACTAATACCGTGCGTCCTCAGGCTGCCTTTTTAACGAACTTTAACTACTGGAAGTTGAACATGTTCTCATACTTAAATGCTCACCCCTTCCAGGCAATCGCTCGAACATATATAAAACAACACAAACAACAACATAAACACATATTTGAAACCAGCGTTATTAGTCCGGCGATGTGGAGCTTGTCGAAATGGCTGAATTGATTTCTGACCATTCTCGTATTAGCATTGCGTACTCATGGACTACTTTTCCTCTGCTGATTATTCCAATACTGTACTAGGTATATATTAAGTTGTTCAAGTTCTGTCCGATTTTTTTGCCTAATGTTTGAAGCAGCTGTTCTAAGAGAATTTCATCTCTAATGCAAAATTGTTGGCATCCTTGAAAAGTGCTTTCCTTGCGCTTTCTAACGCATATAAGATTTCAATAAATTTCTTAGTGTACGGAGATTTCAGGCCTAAAATCTCTAAGTGGCCGAGGTAAGTTCTCACCCTAGAAATATGTTCTTGCGAGGAAATCTCCACAATGCGCTCTTCAAGTCAAGTTCTTTCTTTGGTTGCGGAATAAGGGTATAGAATGCTAGTATATGCAGAAGTTCGGTTCCATGAAAAAAACATCTTGCTAGTAAAATTTTTCGTCGAACATTAATCTTTGGTATAGATGTTTTACAAGCAATAACTTTCTGCGAATAAAAGTAATCGAATAACCTCAAAGTTGGAGGGCTAGAGCAAAGCAAGAGCTAACAGGGCCCATCCACCAGTTCCTTTTCGGCGCCCATGTCAGTTGTAAAATGTTGATATTTCATAAATGGGCATGCACACATGTGCTGAAGCGAGGTCAAAAAGTGGCTAATTTTTTGTTTGGTCAAAAAAATCTCTCTTCAGCGCAGATCCTATGGGCTCTTTCATGTTGCGTAATAATCTACGAAAACTTCTCTATCTATCCATTCTTAGAGAAGATGCCTATCAATTCTCATAAGGGAGCGTTGCCATGTCAAAAAAGACAGATTCGAAGAAAAACGCTGTGAAGTTTTTGCATTCTTACTTTTTCCTTAACAAGGATTTGCGCAGGTTTCAATATGCGTTTCATAGCCAAGGAACTGTTCAACACATAGAAACTAAGATCTTGGAAAAAAGTTGACTTTGAAAGAAGTTATGGCATTTTGAACTCAAAAAATTCAAATCGGACAGAACTTATGCAACAACCTAATACAGTCATTGTCAATGCGTATTGATTGTTCCTAAAGTACGGGGTAGAGGAACGAACGCCTCAATTAGGCACCGCCTCCGCTGACTACTGGTCCTAACACAATGCACAACAGTAGGGCGAAAGGACCAGCAGTCCACGGAAGCAGTGCCTAGTTGAGGCGCTCATTCCTCTACCCAACGTATGCATTCCAGCCTCGCCATGGCGTGGAATAATGCGACGTCACCTCGCTTCGGGCTTACCCACGTTGCGGACCCATCGTGCCGTGGCGTGGCGAGAAAAGCATCGGAGCGCAGACTTTTTTGCGTTGTTTCTGTGGCCATCAACGCTAAATGAGCGTCCGTAACGTGGCGCAAGCTCGAAGCGATGTGTCGATCCATCAATCCACTTCAGATCGAGGCTGGAATGCATACAATAGGGAAAACCAGTACGCAATGGCAACGAGTGTATGAATGTTGGAATCTATCTCGGGCTTTGCAGCACTTGGTAATCCTCTGCTTACTTCCGTTGTTGTATACCCAAAAAGTGATGCTTTCCCACCAATCAGTCTTGATGAGTTTTTTAGGTTAAATTCATGCGCGTCTTGTGCTTGTTTGCGCTTTCGGTGCTGCTCCGTCACTGATGTAATATACGGCCACTCCGTAAGCATATAAGCCCTGGTGTCAGTGGAACCATTTGTCAGAAGGCCTATCTCACTTGCAAATTGTCCGCTGTGTGGCATATTCAGCCTGAATAATATGTGCAGTTACTCATTGGTCAATTTGGAATGAGCAGTACTCTGACGACTTGGGAGTACATGCGTAGAATGAGTGTTTCGTGCAAAAACATTGTTTTTCCGTGTAGAAAAGAATTGTCTGATTTATAGTTGCATATTCAAATGCATATTGTATTAGGCTTTACTTTATACTCGAGACAAGGAGGGATCTATAGAGCAGTGATAGTGCGCGCTGTTTGCTATAAAAATGGTATAATGCGTATGCGCATAAATTTTGCGGAAACAAAGTATTGATGAAAACACTCCAAAAATATCGAGGTTATAAACATCGGTATCCAAGAAATCATCCCACTATAAAGGTAGCTCATTTATCTGTCTACGAGATTGCATGCATCTGCACCACGCACTCTGCTTCACGGCTATTGAAAGTAAACCCATTTTCTAGGTTTTCTTTTATTTTTTCTCTTCTTTTTGGATTATAGATGTTAGTACACTTCCACAGTTTGTTCCGGTAGAAAGTTTTACTGACGAGTTACTAGTAAAATCTTTTCAGATGCTTCGCTTAGTGGCAAGATCTCATACCAAATTACTTATGATTCTCGCCGTTTTTCACGTCTTTTGGGCAAAGTATTTCCTGCGTGGCTTGCGTGAATGTTACACGTGTTTGATAAATTTTTTTTCTGAAGAATGTGCTTCCGTCTTTCAATGCTATTGAACAGTCACCGAATTTCATTTGAAATCCTCACTCAATGTCATCTGTGCTCTTGCGTATGCGTATTCAATCTGCATAGCTAGCGACCGAATACGCTGCTCCGGCATATGTTGTACGTATCCCCATCATTTATTTTGAAAGCAAACGCAGCACAAATACATTGAAAGAAGCGGAAGAAGTGGAAGAAGTATTTGAGTATAGAGCGTGCTCCTAAAACGTGTTCTACGATTTAAAATCTTGCTGTTGGACCCAATGACCTCTGAATAAAACAATTTTCAATTATTTGTGTCAAATAAATATCAAGGATAAAAAAGTAAGCTAATAGAATTTATTGCTTTTTAGATGCGAGTGCGTGATCTCAATCAAACCTTATAATGGAGCATAATGAATTCTTTATACTTTATCTGAATGCTTTACATCATCGCAAATGCATTTTGCACAGCTTTCTTATTTCAGCCTGCGCTAATGCGATCAAGCATTCTTTAAATTAAAATCTGTAAATAAATATTCGTAACAATCCTTTTTACATAATCTATGTGAAAGCCTCCTCCAGTGCGGTTCTTCCAAGTGATAGCACCCTTTGTCAAAATGCACCATTTCGTCGTCATTCTCATTATCATTACCACTGTATGCTGCGATTTGTGTAGATTAGGGGACCGTACTTTCGTGGAAGACGAAAAATGGGTGAATACTTGCTATCTAAATCACAACATAGTCATTCAAATTATTCCTCCGCTCATTATAGTCGGTTCAGGTTATGGGCAACTTCGTGATGCAATGCTTAAGATGGGGTGGACGTCGCTGGGAAGCAAGGATCGTGGCTTGTATTTCAAATCGCCACGAGGTCATTAATCTTACATCTGAAAGCATGTAGTCCCTTCTAAGAATGTTCCTTCGAGGTCGAGCCAAATGCCTTTGTTTCAAGCCAATTGCTTAGGAACAAGACGTACATCGTTGTAGTGAAGCAGGCGCTATACTCTTGGAGGATTATAGCACCACTTCGAAGACTATGCATCAGAGACATGTGAAATCGGCGATTTTTTTGTCGCTAGGCGATTCGCAGTCTCAGACAGTCGAAGGGATACCTCCGGCGGGCATATGGCGCGAGTCTGCCACTTCGCGCTCCGGAGCCCTGCCATTTCACGCATTTTTGTGCTCCGGGGCTCTCCCAAAAGTGGCGCACCTCCGGAGCAGAGGTTTGCGCGTCGCGGAGAGGGGTCCCATTCGTCCTGTTTGTGACTTCACCGTGACGTCACGGTGAATGAATGGGACCCTTCTCGCGACGCGCAAATCTCTGGTCCGGAGGTGCGCCAGTTTTGGGAGCCCGGTGCACAAAAATGCGTGAAATGGCAGGGCTCCGGAGCGCGAAGTGGCAATCCTCCTCTGGGGAAAGCCCGCGACCATGCCACATCTGCTCCGGAGGTATCCCATCGACTGTCTGCGGTGCTACTACTATCGGCCGCTAATCATCATGTTGGCGGATAGCTATCTAATGTTCAGTCGGCGACTGAAATAGATAGCTATCGAACGGTGCCATGCTTTTACTTGTCTAATCGATGTATCTAATGTTTTATCGCCGAAACTGGCATCACCCTCGTTGATATTGACGATTGCCGATCATTACTGCCGGATCGCTGTCTTTAATATCAGGACATCGCCTATTTGCTGCATCTGATCGAAGACAACTGCTCGGTACGAGAATAGTGCAGATCAGTTTTTTAGCAACATGTCAACGTTGCTCAGAATTTTAAGTTTGAGCTGGTGAAAAATGGTGTACGGGAAACTAAACTTGCAGGAAGGGCTTTTGCACGCTGTCAATCTTAATACTAGGTGACATTCCGATCTGTTTATAATCCTAGTCTACTGGGTGTTCCAAGAGCAAGTGCACATCTTTTGACCGAATATAACTCTCTTTTCACCCAGTTTTTGCTTAGCTTCAAGTATCATTTAAGTTAGTAGCGGGTTCTAGCTTAGATTTCACCATGCAGCGATTCGTCTCCTTCATTACTGTAGGATTACGGTGAAAAATTTGAAGAGGATTTAGAGCCGCCACGCTACTAATTGCCAGAATAAATGTTTAACGAGCCGAAGTTTACCATTGGGATAAACTGAGCTGCTGATCATGAATGTAATGTTCCACTCTACCATAAGAATTTTCTTGGTAAATTATGACAAGTAACCCTTTTTTCAGTGTTTTTCCTAACTAAATGGATGACCATTTCAAACGCTTAAAAAACGCGTGAGATTTCAAAATGAAATTAGCATGTCGCAAAACCCTGCTGACGATTTTCAGAGTTTTTAGAGATTTTTTTGTCGTATGGCCTATTTCGCAATGGTTCTGCAGCTGGAAGTTCTTATCGAATGTTTCGCTCCATACTGAATGGTACTTGAGACTGAGCTAATGTCTTTTGGGAAGAGAGTTATTAACGACTGAAAGTGTGTACTACTCTTGGGACACTTCTTATTGTGATTCTACTTACTTTGTCTGTCCCAACTCTACTGCATAGCTACCCATTTTTTGGGCCTCAATAGCAGCAGTGAAAGAATCAATACGAAAGATAAGTAACATCTCTATGCTTACTTAACTCACAATTGGCCTCTTCACTGCCTTGCAACATTAATTATAATACATATTTCGATGTGGCTTGCTATGATTAACAGCCTCACTTTTCTGGACTTGATTCGGTAGAGCGCTCCATACAAAGCCGCATCAGAGAAGATGGTTGGTGCAAAAATAAGGTCCGTTTTTCTAGGCTTACTCGAACAACTTTTCCCCTTCAAAATTTCTTTTTTGGTATAGATTCTGCTTATCGTTGGAAAGCTTTCTTCTTCTACTTTCCAACAATGGTAAAATTGAGCTTCTATCTCATTTGTACGATTTCACGAGCATCTCGCACAGCTGCACTCAAAATCGAACTTTTGTCGCTCAACTTCTTTGGCCACAATCCAGGAGTAAATGAACGAATTCCTTTGAAAACATAGCATCTGTAGGGGATAAACATTGTTTCCTCATTGCATGTTTAAGTAGATTTTTCGAAAATACCTGGACTGAGAAATCGACGCCACCAAGATAAATACTTGCTGCTGGCATTCTACGGGCCAAAAATTTCCCATGATTAAGGTCATCGCCAAAGCTTCGCTCATTTCCGTAAGCTCGAAATAAGGACATTTTGCCTACAATTTTTGTAGAGAAACTCAGCTGTAAGTGCATAAAGAATTTCAAATTTTCGTAATTTGGAATCAGCCTACCACAAACAAGAAAAAGGTGGACAACTTTGGAATTCTATCTTTTCTTTTCGTAGAACTCTTCCGTTGAGGTGTTTCTGTACATGCATATACCACTGGATTGCGACTACAAAATGAGCTGATTATTAACTATAGGAACAAAACTTCAGAGGAGTTGTAAGGTTTCAATAACAAGGTCACTGAAAGTGAACCTCTCGGTTTTTTGACGCAATTTTTTTCTCTTTGCACCATCAGTATGCGCAGGTGTGCGCTAAGTTGCGAGGCTTGCTGCTTCTAATGGTCTTGACTATATTCAAACCAGTGCTTCACCTCTGCTTCGCAGAGGTTCGCACTGGCATCGTGAACCGTGGTAAACTCACTTTCTGAGAGCTTGTCTCTCAAACATTGTTCGGTTTATTGCAACGTGACCCGCAGCTAAAAATGAACCATACTCGCTATCTTAACCTCACATGATGTTTAGTAACGTGAATCATTCCTCACTGTAATTTCGTAACGGACAAACTCCACACAACTTTAGATTAAGCTTATTGTAAGTCATGATATATGAGGATAAAGTTATAAGTTTTTGAAACGGACATTATTTTTGCACCAAACTAACATAGATATCTATAAAGCACATGTTATTCGATAGAGCAGAATAAGCTCCACAAGATTCAAGAAATCACAGATACTTAATTAGAACTCCTTCCAAGGAGATCCTCCTAACTTCTAATTTGGTCACATACATACCATGCATACCAGATATCTATATGCAGACTATCCGTGTTTCTTGATTATCAGAAAATAAAAAATAAAAATATCACGAACTCGTCTTCTCAAAGGCAGTGTCTCGGCAGATTCACGCCCTGGAAGATATTGCTATAGTGAGGTTTTTGGTCATCCCCCTGAGCTCCAAGCAGTCCGGCTGGTTGATGTTCTCCGGGTCGAGGAAAAAGCCTTGAACCGGCGCGCGCTCGGACGACTTCGCTTCCGTTCGACGCGGGACCCCACGACTGCTCTATCGCATTGTGCATGCTGTCCAAAGCAAAAATTACAGGCAGCAGGATTTTCGTGCGGGCCTGTTTCCATCGAAATTCTCGTCCGAGCTGCCTTTTGGAGATTTGGTAAAAGCCCCGAAAAGGGGCGTTTCAAAGAAAATCGGAGTCAACGGGTCGAAAAGACCCAAAACATGCAAAAAGATGGAAATGCAAAATCCACCGGGACACTGTCTCTAAGCGTTTTATTCAAATTTGATCTTCCTCGACAACACGCTTGAAAAGGCAAAAAAATTATTGTTGTATCATAAAAATATATAGTAATGAATTACTTATGTGAGAACTGTCCAGCATCGCTTTTGCGAGCGTACCAGCTTTCATAATTCCATCTTCTAGCGAAAGAAACAGTGCACTAAATGTACATACGAATACAGTGTGTGCCCCGCGTCCAATAGGTACCTCCGCAACAAAACCGCAGTGCACGCCGGGGCTGCGAGCTGCGATAGAGCTGTCTTTGTCCACATGCCTGTTCTCGAGCTCAAATCGAATTTCTACTTCCATAGACGACAAACTTTTGAAGGAAAAATGTGCTAGTTGTTTGCTGCTACTACTCACTAAATTTTATCCATCCTAAGAAGTTTCATACTCTTATTCGTTGGATTGAGTGGAAGTTGACAATTAGTGAAACATGTGCATTTTTTGTCGGCTTCCTTCGAGATGATTTTAGATGTACTTCGCATTTCACACCTACCGAAATGCTCCACTGCTCATGAGGTGGACGAGAGTCATTAAGGCCAACGCGCGGCGCGTTTGCGCTGCGGAGCACCAAAGGGGAATTGACGGGCACATATAGCTGATGCGATATGTAATTGAGCACGAAAGAGGGTTTTCATGGTTTTGAGATTTTTAATTTTTGGGTACTCAAAATTCCTAAATTTCTTCCAAGCCACCCTATTGTTTGAAAATCATCTTGCAGAGCTTTCCTTGCCTTATCGAATCATATGCTTTGCACATTTTTATTATCAGGTTGTTCCTAAAGTTCTCTCGCTTTGATTTTGAAAGATTTGTATGCGTATGTGAATTTATTTACTTACAAAAAGTATGCCTTTACTTTCTAATGACAGCTTTGCGGCTTTTTGCGACATGAAACTCTAGAGATAAAAATTCGATTAGGATAACCACTCTGACTCCCTATTGAAAATATTAGGTCGTCTTGAAAGTTCACAAGAGTTCACAAGCCGCACCATGTACAAAAATTCATAACTTCTGACTTTTTCAACCGATTTGACCGTTTTTATTTTTGTATGAAAGAGGAAGTCATGCTCTTTATAAAGAAATCTTAGCTGCTTACTATAATCATCTGTTGCATAGATAGGAGCGATAGAAGAAAATTAGTCAAAATTCGAGTTTTCTGTGTAGGGTCATAAAAAATCGGAGACTTGCGACAAAAATCGGGGCAGTCAGTATTATAGGTTCTTTCACCAGCTCTTTCTAACTGTGCAAAGTGTGCGCTGATAGAGCGTCACTATGCAAAGTTATGATTTCCCTGAAAAAAGCCAAAATAAATCAAATTCGCCCTTTCCTATTGCTTGCTCGAAAATCATAACTTTTCATAAAGGCTCTCAATCAGCACGCTTTGCCCTGTTAGAAAGAGCTGTTGAAATAATACAATATTGACTGCTCCGATTTTTGTCGCAAGTCGCCGATTTTTTATGACCCTATACAGAAAATTCGAATTTTAACTAATTTTCTTCCATCGCTACTATCTATGCAACCGTTGATCATTAGCAAGCATCTAAGACGTCATTATAAAGAGCATGACTTGCTCTTTCATAGAAAAATGAAAACTGTCAAATCGGCTGGAAAAATCAGAAGTTAGGAATTTTTGAAAATGGTGCGACAGAACTTTCGGGACAACCTAATAGATTGTCAAAATTCTAAAACGCTGCGAAAATATAAAAACATGTCTCTTACGATCTATGGATGCAGAGATCGGCACAGATGGCTTATAAGCAAACTGGACATCGTTTTTTGGTCGAACACAACTTAGGGTACTTTTTTTTCTAGTCGACATTTCGTTTTTTGTGTTTTTACGTTCAGGATTTAGTGTCAAAGGGGTTTCGTGAAATTTAGCGAAAGTCAAGGGAGACTTCGTTTTTTACGTTTTCGGAAAGTCACCTCGTGCTGAGCCCTTTATGAGAGCTACTCTTTCTAACTTGTGCTGATCAAACTTTTCTAGGAAAAGTTATGATTTTCGTGAAAAATGTGAAGCGGCAAAAACGATTTTTGCCTAACCAATAATTTCCAAGTTTCCTTTTTTTGAATATCTTCGTCGTTGCTATATCGTATCAAAGTGTAAGTAAATTAGGTGAAGCTATTAATTTATAAATGGTAGCATACCTTTTAAGGCAGTCGTATTCCGCATAAGTAAAGTGACTTTTGATTTTGAATCTGTCTTAAATGTCCTCCCCCATTCTGACTAGCCCCGATTTCACTTCAGAACCCTACTAAGAAGTTTTTTGGTGTGAAGCCTAACCAAACTCCTTCGCCGACGACGCACAGGTGTTGAGGCAATCTCGAGTAACACTGGTAATATCAAAGGACGAGGTTTATATTTTCCGATTTTTGATATCGCCAATCGCTTGATAAATTTCTTTCAACGTAACATCGCAAATATGCTGACAATACGTCCAAATCAATTTTGTTACGCCCTCCATAATTGACTAGCATTAATTTTATGTTATTTTACGAAGTTAATCTTGCCCAGGAGATGCTTAATGACGTTCTGGTCAACTCATGTATGGTCTGCTTTTCAACTTTTTAAGCGCTGAACGACGTAAGTCATCGGTAGCGGCTGTGTGAGTCTTAACAAGGCTAAAAAAGAGAGACCCTCACTTTTAATCTATTAATTGTGAGAAAATGTTCGAGATAACGAACTGCCCTTCCATAATCGCTCCTGCATGATTCAGCTGTTCGCATTAAGTTTTATAATCTTTTCAATAGGACGACGGGACGAACATCCACTAGAAACAGAACCAGGTAGTTCTTTGCTACTAGTCCATATAGACTTAGTCAATCTTTTCAACTGTGAGTGCTGTGCTTGATGACTTTGAGCAGCTAGCACGCCAACAGATAGTTTTCTAATTTCACGTTAGCTTTAGCCAATGGCGGAGGTTCTTTGTTATATGAATTTGAAAAAGAATTTGGGTGGAATTGTTCACCTTAATCTCAAATTTTCTCGTGTAAATTAATTTGATGCTGTCGTTTAGTCTAGCTTCAAACGAATATGAAGATTGGAGGACTAGACTAGAAAACCTGGGCTATTTTTTGAGAAATGTCGCCAATGCTAGCACCTCCTCAAAATCCGCAAAAGATCGTTCATATATAAAACTAGCTGACTTACCCGGCTCCGCCCGACCCTGTCATTATTATACTCGTAATCAGCATGCTCGATTATCCCCCTGTGCCAACTCCCAGCCCCGTAGCTCAAATTTTGCAAAAAATCGATAAACTCGATATCGATCGATGACGAAAAGCGGCCTATGACACCCGCCGGGGCCCGATGTGATGTGTCCCAAGTTTGGTCCGGTTCAGAAATGGAATTTTCTATTCGGAACATACGTACAGACATACAGACAGACAGACAGACATACAAACAGAACTTCAGCTTTATATATAAGATTGATTACTTCTTGCTTGCTCATGTAATTACGAGAAATTCGCCTATCCCATCTGTGGCGATCAAAGCTGCCCTACTCTCTAAACAACTGACATTCTCGATCTCGAATCTGTAAAGAAAGGCTGTCATGTTTTAATCAGCATGCTCACCTATCTTTTGAGCCCCACCTGTCTAGCTCGAATGCGATCCACTAATTCATAATTCGACACAACGTGAGCATAGAGAAACATGTAGAAAGGTTGGTCCAAACAGCAAAACTTCATTTTCGAAAACCTTAGGAACATACATACGTACAGCGTGCAAAGAAGAGTCATATTTCTATGAAAGGTCGAAAACCGTCTGCCTGAAAAAAAGTTATACTCAGCCGATCCTACAAAATATCCATCGCTGCTCTCTTAGAAATTATCAGCCATCTTTGCATTTTGTCTGAAATTGCATGTGTGCTCCTCTTTCCGATATGTCTCAACAGCTCTGTTTACACTTTGTTGGCACTGAACATTAACCCCCAGACAAACCTTATTGTTCCAATTCAATACTTACCAATTTCTCTAGAAGGGCTTTTCATTAATGCTCTAGAAATCCAGGTTTTGTGTTTTGGTGCAAATAATTAAATTTTCAGATTCCTTTGGGTGTGACCAAAACGTACGGGAATGTGAGGTACACTTGCAAGGAAACGGAATCTGGTGCCAGTCTAGATTGGAATTCGCCATCGAACAAGTAGCACAATAAATTTCTCTTATGTTGATAACAGAATTTACAACCAATTTACAACCACTCATGGTGGAATTTCGGCGAAATATGCGATCTTTACATTTTGGGCAAGATTCATGAGGACGTGTCTTTCTTGGTTCGTAACTTGAAGATTGTTAAATATTGGAGCCAGTGGCATGCACCATTCGAATTTAGCGATCTCGTCATCGGTAAGCCCAAAATAAAAGACTTCGTGAATTCACTAGGAACTCTGTTATCGAATGGTGCATGCCACTGGCTCCAATATTTAATAATTGTCAAGTTACGAACCTAGGAGACACGTCCTCATGAATCTTCCAAAATGTAAAGATCGCATATTTTGCCGAAATTCCACCATGAGTGGTTGTATGACAGTCTGATTGCAATCATTATGTTCAATTCGCTCAAGAGATCCCATGTATTGAATATGGCAGTTGCGTGTACTTTAGCTGTTTAATTGAAAACAGGGCAGCTTCGTGATTAGGGCTCAGATATATCTAGCTACTAAATCTAACACAAGAAGATCCATTGAGCGATGTGAAAAGATTTGATCACCGTGTCATACAACTACTCAGGGTGGAATTTCAATGAAGTATGTAATCTTTACATTTTAGGCAAAATTCATGAGGACGGTTTTTGTAGGCTCGTAACTCAGCGATCGTTACATATTGGAGCCAGTGGCGTGCACTATTCGATAGCACAGTTCCTACTGACTTTAATCTCAACAAGCAGGCAGCTTTTTTGACAGATACGCAAGAGGTGCAGACGATCATACGAACTTTCGTGACACCGTTACAGTTACCTCACCATATCTCTGCAAAAAGACCCTCTACTTGACAGAGACCACGATTCAGAAACAGCGTGTTTGAAAACCTTTATAAGCGGAGTTTCCTTTCAAACCAAGATCATCGACATGTTGACCAAAACCCAGTGGCGAGCCTGAGAGCGTGAAACGAGAAAAACTTGATTAGTCTGAAGTTCTCTGAAAACTTGCTCATAAGAGTTACCTAACCTGCTGATTGCGAAACTCATATCTGCTTAGCAAGATAGCTTTGTATTCTACGATTACGACGAGTGAAATTTGGGACGGCAAGATTTTCCACAATTCACCAACCCTTCTATCTCCTTTGGAAAAAGTGTGCGGCTCCTTTCTAGCGCTCCATAATCTGCAGGAAAAGTACTAACGAACGGTCTTTGATGGAGTCTACTAGAGACAATGCACGCTGCTTTACACCTTTGCGAAGAGACGTCCGCAGAAAGATTCAAGCATACTGAAATCGGAACGTCAAGGATGCTGTAAAGCGTAAGATTCGCCTTGATGAGCTGAGCACAATGCTTCTTACGGATTCAGAAAATATTCGTTTTGACGGAAGTTACGGCGAGTAGAATATGAAAACGCCTTATTTCTCCAGAATTCACCAACGCTTTTAACTCCTTTGGAAAGAAGTGTGCACTTTTTACCGCGCGATAACCTAAAAGAAAAGTACTATTGAAAGGTACTTACTGGAATCTTTGTTGGATAGGCACTGCCTTACATACTTGGGAAAAGACCTCCGCAGAAGAATTTGAGAAAACTGGAAGCGGAATATCGAGGGCATGCTATACACGAAAAGATTTGCCTTGACAAGCTAGACACAATGCCGTTTCCGATTCAGAATATACTCATTCCGAAGGAAGTTATGGTGCTGCGCATTTTGTGTGACTCCCGTGATTTTGCGGAATTTCTGGAATGGCGCGGATTCCGGGATTTCCGCGAACTTCGGGAAATTGCCGAAATTCTGCGATGTTTAAGATAATCTTGCACATTGTTTGAGCGGTATTGTACCTTGAGCTGATTTAGAACAAATTCGATCAGAGTGACTCTCTACCATACTTCTACAGTATCCCTACAATGTACCACCAGCAGTAAATCAACGGCAGTTTTGTTATCAGCACACTGAACAATCCAACCAAACAAAAATCTGCAAAATTGAGAGAAACGGATTGTGGAACCTCTACCTATATGATGCGTCTCACCGAGCTGAATCGAATTTTGTCCATGGATTCAGAATACGTCCATTCTGATGGCGATGCGACGCGGATTCCGGCGCACATGGAGGGCGGCGCACTCCGCTGCACTTCCGCGCACTGCAGCGCACTGTGGCGCACTATGCTAAAGTGCGGCGATTTTTTTGACAAATTGTGAGCGGTATTGTACTCATATCACAAACGGGCAGAAAATTTGATTCATAAGCAAAAAAAGTTCTCTTATGAAACTTCTTTTATAACTTATCATAATTCCCTTCAAAATTTGTTGGCATAAATGATAAGTAGCCTGTGTTATAGTCACAAGCCAGTAGTACGAAAGACGATGAAAAGGGCGCAAACAGAGAGGATTTGCGAAAAGAAAAGAAAATCAAAAGCTAATGTTATCAGTATTTTCAACATTTTTCGTGGCTGCAAAATCCCAAAATGTGAAGTTTTTTTTGAATTTCCTGCATACTAAACAGCTAAACATTTTCGCAATGCTGTCAACAGGAAGCCTAGCCTTAGGCTTATAGGAATGCGCAAAGATTTGGCAATTGCCTTTTTCAAAAAAAAAATTCATGAGCCACAGAATGACCAAAACGACTACCCATGTTGAAGCGCCAATATGTCAGTTTAGTTAATCTCGAAGAATATAGTATAACGCGCGTAGTGTAATTTCTACTACATACAGTAACTGAACTTTTAGAAGCATGCCTTCATCGCGCTTATTTGTGGCCAGAAAAGTAAATGCAATGCAATTCTGGTTTTTTGGTTGTGTGAAGCTCCGTAAATTTTTCACTAATGAGGCTAAAAGCTTACGCAATCATTGGACAGAGCAGGAATAGGCTTTTTGATGATGAGCTAAATCTTTTTGAAGAAAAAAGTTTGATGGAAAAAAAGATGTCCTGAAAAAAGGGGATGAAAAACGCAGATTACTCTTGCACCAATCTGATATCACCAATCTTTCAAAAGCACGCAGCACAGATATACTGAAAGAAGCGGATGAATGGATAATCTATTTGAATATAGAGTGTGCCTTCAAAAACGTGCTCTATGATTTGAACTTTTTGTTTTTTTTTTCTGAAGCTGCAATGGTTTCTGAATTCAAGTCTTTTTAGCAGATGCAAATGCGTGGATCTCAATCAAACCTTATAATGGGGCATATTATTCCTTATACTTTATCAGAATGCTTTACATCATCGCAAATGCATTTTGCACAGCATTCTTATTCCAACTTGCACTAATGCGATCAAGCCTTCTTCAAAGTAACACCTGTGAATAAATATTCAGTAAGAATCCCTTCACATACTTTATGTGAGAGCGTCCACCAGTGTGCTTCTCCAAGGTGATAACACCCTTTATCAAAATGCATCATTTCGTCATCATTCTCATTATCGTTACCACTGTACGCTGCGATGTATGTAAATTAGGGAACCGTACTTTTGCGGAAGATGAAAAATGGGTAATCATTTTCTATCTCAATCTCAGCATAGCCATTTAATTTTTCCTCCGCTCATTACACTCAATTCAGGTTATGGGCGGCTTCGTGATGCAATGCAGAAAATGGGGTGGAGGTCACTGGGAAGCAAGGATCGTGGCTTGTATTTCAGATCGCCATGAGGTCATTAATCTTACATCTAATAGCATGTACCCTTCTAAAAATGTATTCTCCAGGATCGAACTTAATCCCCTTGTTTCAAGCCAATTGCTTAGGTACAAGACATTGTTATAGTAAAGCAGGCGCTATGCTGGAGGATTATAACACCTCTTCGAACAGTATGCATCAAAAACGTGTGAAATGGGCGATTTTTTGTAGTTGGAGGTCTTTAGTGCTACTATTGGCCGCCAGTTGCGAATCAGCATGCTAGCGGATAGCTATTTAATGTTCATTCGGCGACTGAAATAGATGGCTATCGATAATCGGCATCCTTTTACTTGTACAATCGATGCGTATTCAATGTCTGATTGCCGCAATTGGCATCATCCGTCGTCGATATTGACGATTGCCAATCACTATTGCTGGATGGCCGTCGCTAACATCAGGGACAAAAATCGCTTATTTGCTGCATATGATCGAAGGCAACTGCTCAATATGAGAAGAGTGCAAATCAGTTTTTCAGCAGCATGACAAAACTGCTCAGAATTTCAAGTTTGAGTTGGCGAAAAAGTGTACGAGGAAGTAAACTTACAAGAAGAGCTTTTGCACGCTATCAATCTTAACACTAGATGACAAACCACTCTATTTATGACTCCCTAATCTAGAGACCGTTCCAAAATTAAGTGCACACAAAGTCTTTTGCTTATTCTCAAGTATTATTTGAGAGCAGGTTCTAGTTCAGATCAGAGTACCAATGGGGGAGCCGAGTACCCTAAAAGTGGAGGTGTGGTCCCAGCTACCACTGAACGCCAAAAGTGAAGGAGGTAGTGCCGATCACTCACCTCCCAAAAACGTCGACGGAGGGGGAGGAGCGTTAACGGCGATTGAGCCTATTCTTCCAGGTCGTTGCCGCCATTGCGCGGAAAATAAGCAAAACAAATGGGAAAGAGATCATTGAAAGCATATTTTTATGTATACAGCGGCATGAATATCTAAAATAAACGTTTTTATCAAATGGTGCATTTGGAAGTGAAACTCAGCGGAGCTGTACGAATTCTGTTAAGTGAATTTTGTTATAACGTACAGCAAAGAAAGTAGATCGATCCATGGAGTAACCGCCAAGAACCAGAATTTTGAATTATTAAGTAGTGAAAAATTATGCGAAATTTCTACTGTTATAACTTTGAGCACGAAGGTGTCAGCAGTTGCGACTTCTTAGATTTTGAAGAGTAAGTGGTGCTTCTATTATATAGTGAAAGAAGCAAGTCGATTCGAAAGATGTTCGCCGAAAATTAGAATTCTAAAATATTACGCAATTTTAGCTTGTTTAGTGACTGCCGACAGTTAAACTCATATAAATCCTGAATTTGAAGGTGTGTGATGTTGCGACTTCATAGTTGTTATAAAGTAAGGATCGTCTTATCAGAATAAGTTTTAGCCGTTCCGATCCATTGAAACATCTCCGAGAGCCAGACTCCTGAAAAGCAGGTAAAAAAACGCTTTTCAAAGTTCAACAGCTCATAACTTCTTCAGAGTTGCATGAATCATGTTGAGACTTTATAGGTTGATTCTTCTCATCAAGAGCTTCTCATCCCGAACCAACTGGATTCTTTCACTATATAATAAAGCACCACTAACTCTTAAAAACCTATGAAGTTGCAGTTGCTGAATCTACTAATAAAATTCGTGCAGTTGCGCTGAGTTTTACTTCCAAGTGCACCATTTGATGAACACGTTTATTTTAGATATTTATGCCGCTGTATACATAAAAATTATGCTTTTAATGATCTCTTTTGCGTTTCTTTTACTTATTTTCCTTTTTTCAGTTAGCAAAAATATTTTTGAAACCTAAAAGTAAAGGTGGTGGTCACCCCGTACTAGCTCAAAAGTAAAAGTAGGGGAGAATTGGCTCCCACTATCGCATGTCTGGTTTAGATTCACAGCATGCAGCGATTCATCCATCGCCCTTCATTACCGTAGGATTACGGTAGGAGCTTAGAAGGGGGTTTTGAGTTATTAATGATTAATAACTGCCTTAGAATAAATACTTAACGAGTCGAAAAGTTTGCCTTTAGGCTAGACTGAGTCGCTGATCATGAATATAATCTTTGCACTTAACGTAGCGTTTCTTTCTTTTGGTTTTAGCTAAGTGGATGAACCATTACGCTTAAAAAACTTGAAATTTCCCAAAGTGAAATCATCATCGCAAAACCCTGCCAACAATTTTCGGTTTTTTTGAGAAATTTTCATCGTGCGGCCTATTTCGCAATGATTCTGTAAGCTGGAAGTTCTACCGAATGATTCGCTCCATGCTGATTGGTATTGAAGATGAGCAAAAGTTTTTTTGGAAGAGAGTATTAACGATTTAAAAATGTGTACTTACTGTTGCGACACTTCCTACTATGTTCTACCTATTTTGTCTGTTCCAACCGTCCTATTTTGGGCCTTTAATAGCAGTGGCCTTTCCTCACCGCCTTGCAACACTCATTATCATAATTCGATATAACTTGCGATGATCACGGATCTCACTTCCCTGCATCTCTCGGCAAGTATTAGATTGATGCGAAAGTAATGAGGGTACCTTATGCAGCCACGTCAGAGAAGATATAAAAATCTATGAAGCGTGTTATCTGGTAGAGCAGAGTAAGCTTTACAAGGTTTAGGAAAAATCTCGGATGCTCAAAAATCAAAACTCCTTTCAAAGAGATCCTTCCAATCTGATCACGTATCTATCTATCAGATATCCATACGCACACTTTCCATATTTCATAAGTAACAGTAAAAATAAGAATATTTTGAAATTTTCTTCTTCTTGGTTTTTTTTCAAATTTCATTTGCCTCAACAACTACGCTTAAAAAGCCAGAAAACTTATTTTTGTACCTCCAAAGATTTGTAGTAAAGAACTGTTTATGTCAGAACTGTCCAGCATTGCTTCTGCTAGAGCATGTCAACATTCGTAATTCCATCTTTTAGCGAAAGCATTACACCAAGGCCCGTACGCACGTACATCCCGCTGGGGAGGGGAGGGGATCTGAGAGGGAAGAGTCATATTTCGCTACTCTAGATATCTTTCTTCTTCCTTCTTAATCTGCTTGTGAAGTTTCTCATACCCTTATACCTGCGCATAGTGGATGCCAGGTTACCTCCATACAAGATTGGTTTTTTGCCATTTCGTGTGATCCCCAGGGGATCCCCAGGGGATCAGTTCTCATTTCCATAATGATTTATCTTCCTGGAATGTCAATGAAAACGCCGCAAAATTGTACTGAGGATATATTACCGCACTGCCGAGCATGTTTTCGACAGGAAAAATGGAATCTGAAGACTGTGAATTTTTCGATAATCCTTAGCTCGCGAGCTAGGGATTACCGAAAATTTCAACATCCTGATATTCGACTTATTTCTACTATAAACATTTTTAGCAGTGCCGTAGTATATCCACAGTACAATTTTGCAGCGATTTCATTGAGTTCAGGAAGCTAAATGGCACTGAAATTGGGAGGTGATCCCCTGGGGATCACCTGGGGATCACCAGGGGATTATACAAAATAGTAAAAATCTGTGCAATTATGCCAGTAACTTGGCATCAATTATGCGCAGGTATTAGGGTATGAGAACCTTCATAAGCAATATAGAGGAGGAAGAAGAAAGATACTTAGAGTAGGGAGATATGACGCATTCCCGCTCAGATCCCCTCCCTTCCCCAGCGGGGAGATGTACGTGCATACGGGCCCAAATGATACGAATATAGTGGGTGCCCCGGCCAGTTCCCATAGGTACCTTCGCGACGCAACCGCAGCGCACGCTTGGGGCCTGCAAGCAGAGGTGCGATAGTCGGAGCCGATCCGCCTACCTTCACTTTTGAGCTGGTACAGGATGACCACCTTCACTTTTGGGTTTGAAATTTTTTTTGCTAAAGCTCAAAAGAAGGAAAATAAGCAAAAGGAATGTAAAAGAAAGTATTAAGAGCATATATCTATGTAGTAGGTCGATCCAGGCAGTAACCGCCGAGAACCAGAATTTCGAATGATAAAATAGTGAAAAATCGTGAAAAATCATTCAATTGTTACAAATCTGCTGCCTGAAGATCTCCACAGTTGCGACTTCATAGGTTTGAAGGGTAAGTATTGTTCTACCAGACAGTGAAAGAATCAGTTTGATTTGAGAAGTGGCCGCCGAGAACGAGAATTATGAAGAACCTTAAAAATCTTCTCAATTTTAGGTTGCTTAATGACAACTGACATTTAAACTCTTATAAATTCGGACTTTGAAGGTGTGTGATGTTGCGACTTCATAGCTTTTGTAGGGTGATGTTTGCCCTATCAGAATATGTCTTAGCTGTACCGATCCATTGAAACATCGCCGAGATACAAGCTCTTAAAAAACAGGTAAAAAACCGTTTTTCAGCTCATAACCTCTTCAGAACTGCATGTTGCGACTTCATAGGTTAGATTCTCCTCTTCAGGAGCTTTCAGATGATATATAATATGTGTTCAATGTTTCTTGCGGCTCTAACCCGGGGTGGAGTACCTCCTTCTCTTCACTAATTCTCCACTGGCAGCCTCCCGCCAATACATTGAAATGGGCGGGGTGGAGAATTAGTGAAGAGAGGTACTCCACCCGCGGGCATATGCCGTGGGAGGCGTGAATCCCCCACATATTATATATCATCTGAAAGCTCTTGAAAAGAAGAATCTAACCTATGAAGTCGCAACATGCAGTTCTGAAGAAGTTATGAGCTGAAAAACGGTTTTTTACCTGCTTTTTTAAGAGCTTGTATCTCGGCGATGTTTCAATGGATCGGCAAAGCTAAGACATATTCTGTTAGGGCAAACCTCACCCTACAAAACCTATGAAGTCGCAACATCACACACCTTCAAAGTCCGAGTTTATAAGAGTTTAAATGCCAGTTGTCATTAAGCAACCTAAAATTGAGAAGATTCTTAAGGTTTTTCAAAATTCTCGTTCTCGGCGGCCACTCCTCAAATCAAACGTTTTTTTCACTGTCTGGTAAAACAACACT